TTCATACTTGTTAGTGATGTAAATGGTTAAAGAGTCATTGTCGACCACTTCCCTTAATCAATCCATGATATGGAGAATGTTTGAGAGTCTTTATTTGTTGCATTTATTGAACTTGCACACTTTGGTTTATAGGCCATCATGCAATGAAATTGCATCGATTGATGGTTTGTGAATCAAACTTACCACTCTTTTGAGCTATTTGATAATAAGAAGGGGTAAGTTGTACAAACAACCCTTGAGAATATCTTGGTTGTGCTCTGTTTGCTCTCTGTTGCAGCAAAAGGAACCAGGATTTTGTGGCCGGCAGGCCACCATTTCTGGACGGCAAACCATCTTTTGTGGACGGCAGGCCACCACTTTTGGCCTGCCGGCCACCTTCGCAAAACCCAGCAGTGGCTTTTTGAAATGGAACAGGGTTGGTTTTGAGGTGAAAAATAGGGCAAGTGTTCTAACTGTGCAACAAAGGCTTTCTGGCAACAGAATAGTGTCTTTTTTGGGTGGAAATCTACACGCACGCATGAGTACTCTTCGCTTCCCAAGGTTGTTTAGTTTAATTACTTAGCTTAGTCATTTCTTTAAATTTTGTAAAGTGTTGTAATTAATTAGTTGTAGCTATTTAATTTTGTCTTATAAATAATTAGTTAATTAGCTAGAATAGTTAATTAATTTGTTGTTGTAATAATTAGTTAAGTAGCTTAGCTAATTTATTCATTTGTTTTGTAATATTTAGTTAATTTGTAGTTTTGTAATAGTCTGTTAATTCATAGTAATTAACTTAGCTAGTTAGTTTATTCAAACCCTCCTGCGTAAGGACGCAAAATTGTAATGATGTATATGTCTTCCAACCCCACGTCTTTCTCCGTTTTATTTAACTGCTTATGATGATTAGTTTAGGGCATCATGTTTCTTTTAGGATCTTTCATGATTTGCATGCACCAAGGCTCAGTACATCATTCTAACTTGCATTGTCGTTTAAATACTTCTTTGAAAAAGGTGCTTAAACTGCATGCTATCAAATTTATTCATATGCCATATTAGTAGTCGAGCCTAGTAATTGCATATCGCATGTGTTGCATTAGTTAAAGCATGTATTTTTCTAACTCTTTTCTTTTGGCTTTCCTAGGAATACTAGATGGGCATTTTCACTTTGGCATATTGCATTTGTATGTTAGTGTTGTCATGCCAAAGCATGTTCACCATGAGACTAAGTGTTTATCTGATAAATTGTTTGAATGCCTGTGGATGAAGGCTAGTTGCATGAATTGGGATGGTTTGATTCATGTACATTTAAGCCCACTTTTTCAAGTGGCACATTTAGAACTCTTTTCAAAACAAATATGAAATCAAGTGTTCCAATTTTTACAAGTTAGTTTATACTTGTGTGTGCGCATCACATAGTAATGCTAGCCTAATAATCAGAACAAGAGCGTATAATATAAATAAGAATCATATCATGATTAGTAGAGGCCAATATTTAATCGGGCAAGCGGGGGTGCTCAATTCATGACATTCCCCTCTCATACCTAAGTTCCCGAGCTGAGACAATCTTGGTGATGACGGACACGTGGCCTTTGGCACGAGTCATGGATTTCCTAAATTTCCTCAAAAATATTTAGGTGCCGACTTTGTATCTGGCAAAGCAGTCCATTTTTGACATTTTGATTCAAAATTGATTTTTCAAAAGATTTACCGGATTTGGACTTTTTGGTGTTTATCTATTTCACATTGTACTTATGAGATCAGATTCAGAACCACGGGAGTCCAAACTGTAGGGCTTATCATCTTCCGAAAGGAGCACGAAAAGTCAAGCACAAGTGGCCATGTTCATCTTCTCTTTATTATCTCTGCTGATCAAACCGCCGACCTCTTCACCAAAGCTCATCTTCTAAGACGCTTCTCTGATCTCCTCTCAAAGCTCAAGTTAATATCTGACTTACCACCTTGAGCTTGAAGGGGGGTGTTAGCTATATATATTATTTTATACTTATCTATCTATATTATAAATGTATCTCATCTTCTTTTCTATACTTATCTCTGATGTATCTCAGCCTATAAATACAGGCTTCTTGTATTTTATTATTCAATTCAACATACAGTTTCTCTTTTCTCTTCTATCTCTACTTTCATAACACGTACTAACCTGGATAGTATGGTGCAAGCAATGGAGAGTCTCCAACGAAGGTAATAAAAAGTTTTCGACGAAGGTAGATGGATGGTTAGCCGACTAGAACAAACTTTCTTAAGATTTTTGAGACACTAATAGTTAAGAATTTGTTTGAGGTCATAAAAGGAAATCAGAGTAAAATAACTAATAAGATTTAAAAAGGTGTAGTTTTTATTTTTAGGATTTTTTATAATAAAAAAAATTCCATAACAAACTAGGCTCTCTAATGTTGTGGTACAGCACATATAAACATTATAAGGTAATAAATAATATTATTTACATGATATTGACAAGAGGTGATGGTGACACTGTGGTCTTGGAAATGGAGCCCTCTTTATGCGGTCTCCAGTCAAAACTCATAGATGGAAGGATAATTTTTCAAAGAATAATGTTTGAGAGTTTGAATTTGGCCCCTCCTAATCCCCAAAATGACGTCGTTTTAGGGATTTTTTTTTTTCTTTTCTTTTTTCTTCTTCCACGTTCGACTCTGCAACAGCTCGGAGGGAGAGGGAGAGAAAGAGAGAAGAAGAGGGGAAGAGAGAAGAGATCGTCGCCCAGCACGTCGCCGCCGATCGCCCAGCTCTGATCGTCACAGCAGCTCCACCGTCGCCTCCGGCCCCGCCTCCGCCTCCTCCCACTGTTATGGCCCCCTCTAGTCCACTCCTCCTCCTCCTCCTCCTTCCTCCTTCCTCCTCCTCCCTTCTTTTCTCCTTCTCTGCTTCTGAAAAAAAAAATCAAGATTAGGGGAATTCGGGGGCACGGTCGTTTTTCAAATTAGGCTGCAGCATCCTCAAATCCCCTCAATTTTAACTTTTACGTTTTTGTGCTCGATGTTTTTTTATCCATTCCTTTATAATGTAAATAACAAATTAAAAAATATATATATATTCACAACAAAGACCACAAAACCCTGATTAAGTAGAAAAACTCGTGGATGGAAGAATAATTTTTCAAATTAGGCTGGCACGTTAGGACTGTTTTAGATGCGCAGCGACATCCTCAAATCCCCTCAATTTTAACTTTTATGTTTTTGTGCTCGATATTTTTTTATTCATACCTCTACAATGTAAATAACAAATTAAAAAAATTTTATTCACAACAAAGAGCACAAAACCTTAATTAAGTAGAAAATTAAATTATTTTATTAACGTTCTGTTGAAAATTTGTAAAAATTTCAGTAGAAAATTCAGCAATAAAAAATTTAAAAAGAAATTTTAGCAACAATTTCAACTAGTGTTATCTCATAACAATTTTGTACACTGTGAATTCATAACTTCTATAAATTCAAATAAATACTGACTAAATTTCATCACTTGTTTGTTTTTGGTGTTGGTCTTTCTCATTATGTGCATGTGAATCAAATTGACAAATAATAACAAACAACATATGATTCTTGAAAAGAAAAAACTTGTAGTTGAAACAATCCATTTCATTGAATAGCACAAATTAAAAATAAAAATAAAAGTCAATGCATGCAAAACTGGGACCCCTTTTCAAGTGTAAATTATAAAAACTGATGTAAAAAACAATACCAGTTCAAAACACGGAAGTGCCTCAAATCTTTAGAAACAAAAGGGCAAAATCATAGAAAAACAAGAAGGAAAAAAAATAAAAAATAAAAATTGTTATACAATTGTTTCTAAACATTTAAAGCAAAGATATTATCCATGATATGGATATATGACACTCCAGTATATACATCTCTATTATTAAATTTTTGTTCTCCCATAATTCAAATTTATAACATTGTTACATTATCTATATTAAGTGTATTCATTCCTTTCTTTTGTACCTAGATGTGATTGTTGAAATTGTGAACTACATTTATACTCCAAACAAACACTACTCTTATTCATTGACTTAGCCTTCAAACAAATAGTTAAAAATTTATCAACTTTTTTCTTTCATTAACTTAGCCTTCAAACAAATACCTAAAAAATACAAATGAAAGAGAACTACATCAACACTTAACAATTCATGATCAATTCATAACAAAATTCCCAAATTTTTAAAGTTCTAGGGTTTGATAAAAAAAACTCCAAATATGCACAAAGAAGTTAAAAATCAAGTATAGGAAACAAGCAAGACTCATATTTTCATACCTTTACAATCGGAGATGGTGTTCTTACAAGAACTCACAGCAAAAATAGCGATAAAAAACTCAAATTTTCTTGGAATACGTGTGAAAGCAACGGCATATAAATTTCCAACCGTCAAAAACGTGAGACAAAGAGAATTTTTCTTTTTAAAAAAAAAATTTGTCTCTACCGCTAATGTGACTGTCATGTTGTTGAAGAAATATAGAACCACAAAACTTTTTCTCTAGATAAAATATATTCTTTCTTTTTTCTTTTTTTTCTTTTTTTTTAATAATATATTGCGCGCTCCACCAAGATGAATTGGTCATTGCCAACTCGTTCATGAAGGCTTTCCTGACAAATTATTCTCGACCCCTAGCATTATTGTTTATTAAATTCAAAATAAATTAAGAAAAAAAGTTATTTATAGCACAATCTTAAAATGCATTACAATAATTAGAATAGAATATTGAATCAAAACTTTATTTCTTGAAATACATAACCACAATTTTTTTTTTTTTTTTTTGAACAACATAATTACATTCATTATGAGTAAAACCCATATTATTTAAGGGCCAGGTCAGTTGGGCCTATAATTGGGCCTGGACCAGACCCAAAAAACTAGACAGACCCAACTTCTCCTCTCTCACTCTCTCTCCCTCTCCCTCTCTCTACTATGAATTATCTTTTGCTCTTGGAGAACTTCCATGACGATCATAGGTTAGTTTTCTACTTACTCACTCTCGTTCGTCTCTGTTCTCTCACTATTTTTAGCTTCTTATTTGTTTAGGCTTCTCTATCTTTATTTTTATTTTAATTTTTAATTTTTTTTTTTCGAAGTTTGCAATGATTGGGAATTGGAGTTGTTAATTTTATCTAATTCAGTTAAGATTGTGGGTTTTATGCTATTCTGCAATGTGGGAATTTTAATTATAATTGGTACTTTCTTGGATAAAGATAGAGAAAAGAATATAATGGCATGTTTGGGTTTCTTCTTCTATTTCTTGCTTTTGTGTCTGATCGTGTGCGTGAGGTGTTTGTTAAAATGTCAAGCTGAAGATGCTCATCTGCATAATGAAATGGTGGGTCTTGACAATGATTTGGGAAAGGCCTTTGTTTTTTGTTTCATTATCAAATCAAACCAAACCAAAGCAAGCTTGGTGTCCCTATCATGTGAGTTTTTTGTTATTGCTTTTGAGTAATAATGATTTTTTTAATGGCATTGAATTGGATGTCTGTTTAGATTTCTTAATACTTTTTTACAGCATTTTCGTTCAAAATTACTTTGTAGGCAGGCACAAACTCTAAATTGAGCCTGTTTAAGAAGAGCAAAAACCCAATTCTAGGGGCCTCAACTTCACTGGTTTGAAACCTTTTCAGTGTTTGGTAAAGCATTTCAGAATTACATAGGCCAACCTTTACTCGATAAAAATTCCCAAAACCTGGTTAAAATCAAACCAAGTTGGCTGGTTTTTCAAAATTTCTGATAAATTAATGAAAGTGGAGCTGACCTGGTCCATTTTTTAGATTACCCAAAGCAAAGTATATAATGAAATTGAACTGTTTTTCATTCTTAATTTTAAGAAATGAATGACTGTCATTTTCCTTTTATTTGAGCATTGTCATGTTTGCTTTATCTTATGAAATTCTTCTCAAAAGTTCCCTCTCTTAAAAAAAAACTTCATCTCCTTCCCTTAATGTATACCAGATTGCTTCTATAATCTTGAATATATGCCTTTCATTTATTATTTTATTTTAAACAAAGTCAAAGAGCATGACATAGCGAAAAATATAAATATTTAATTTAGGTCCTTTACTCTAATGACCTTTTTGAATAACAAAAATGTCTTTCAGGTTTCAACTAATTGTTAACTGCCCAACTGTATGGTGATTCTCTCTCTCAGCTGAGAGTTGTTGGCAGAAAAGTAGTTCCCTCCCGCCGATGCTAGTAAAGATCCTTCCATGGTGTCATTCAAGACGTCAAACCCTAACCCTACACTCAAGCATCCCCTTTCATGATGTAACCCAGCCAACAATCCTCTGTATCTCTCGTTTTTTAAGCCAATCTAAATCCCAAAATGAAGATACCTATGACCCTCCTTTTTCATTCACCTCCAAAACCCTAAAACCCAATAACAAGAACAAGGAAAAGAAGCAAGGGAATAGTCAAAACAAAGCTTCATCGAAATCCGAGAGAGACTTGGACTTTCCATTGAAATCAACTCTACCCTTCAATTTTAGATACTCATACTCTGAGACTAACCCTTCGATTGAGCCCATTGGGTACCGTGAACCACCGAGATTCTCTCCCTTTGGACCTGGACGGCTTGACCGGAAATGGACCGGCACTTGTGCTCTGGCCAAAGAAGCAGTTGATTTGCTAAAGTTAGAAGAACAACGACGTGAGGTTCTTGGAGAACCACTATCCAAAGAAGAAGTCGCTGCGCTTGTGGAACGGTTTCGTCATAACGATTGTTCTCGACAGATTAATTTGGGTACTCTCTCTCTCTCTCTCTCTATGTATATGCATGTATGTGTTTGTATGTGCTATATTCCTATTTGATGTGCCTCTTTTCAGTTCAATTCTCTGAATGATGAAGCTATACAACTTAGGGTTTGATTTTCATTATAATTTTTTATTAGTGACAATTTGAATTCATGTGTTTGATGCATGATGCATTATTTCTGCTGATTAGTTAGACTAATGGAATGTGAGTATAAACATGTATAAATTTCACATATTGGCTCTTGTTGTCAACCAATAAATATCGAGATCCTTGATTTTATTCATCTTTGGAGTTGCCTAAGAAGCATGGACACTTCTGTGCAAGTGTGTTGTGTCCAACACCCATGTCAGACACCAATACTCTTCAGACACTCCTAAAAGTGTGACGGACACTTCTTCTGTGTGCCTGACTCTTCCGACACTTGTTACGTGAATGATGTGTTTATGTTAAGTTATGAAATATATAGCTTTTAATATTAGTGTTATGTTATATCTTTTTTATTATCTTTAAATAAATTATTTATATGTGTGACATAATAAATTTGTAAAAATACAAAATTTTATCATGTCCCAAGAATATCGTATCTGGCATATATTGAAAATCAACATGTCGGCGTGTTGGTTTCATGTTTGTGTTGTGTCGCATGCCATGCTACTTAGGGAGTAGTCATATTGTACATTCATGGACAGCCACAGGCCACATGATTTGCATATGTTTAACTTGGATATTTAGCAGCTATGGACTTTCACACTCAGAACCCATCCCAACTAGCCTTCACTGCATCATATGCACTTCTACACTGGAATTGTAAAATTCACTATAGCATGTAAATTAGGTTATTTGTGGGGGCTTATGTTGTGAACAATAAATTTCAACTTGAGGTGCCTTGATAACATGTTCTACTTTTTACATGGAACCATAAGATCTGGGGGCAAACAATGCTGGATCTGTTTGATTTTACGGTTCAATTTTATTTGCTTATGTAATTGGACTTGGAACAAAAGCAAATCGCATTGCATTGGGCTTAATCTTCGACATTTTTAAATAACTAGTGAATTTATAATTATATTCACGCTAGGGAAGGGGGGTGTTACTCACAACATGCTCGAAGACATCCACAACCACTGGAAGCGGGCTGAAGCTGTGAGGATCAAGTGCTTGGGTGTGCCAACTCTTGACATGGATAATGTTTGCTTCCAGCTTGAGGTTTGAACTTGGAACAGCTTGTTCCTTTCCGAATTGAGAAATTCAATTGCTTATTTGGTTTCAAGGATATTTAAGTTGACAATGTCATAGTGTCTCTGTAGGACAAAACTGGTGGGAACATTATCTACCGCCACATAAATATCCTTCTATTGTATCGGGGTCGAAACTATGACTTTAAAAAGAGACCAGTTATTCCTTTGATGTTGTGGAAGCCGTATGCGCCAATATATCCAAAGCTTGTGAAGAATGTTGCTGATGGTCTCACATTTGAAGAAACGAAGGAAATGAGAAATAGAGGACTGAACTCTCCTCCTCTAATGAAACTTAGTAAGTGAACTCAATTTTTGGAAGATTGATGTGAAAAATTGCTTTCATAGACCGATGTAATGGTGGATAATTGTACTCCCTCAATCCCATAATGTTGGTCCCTTTTGGGAGTTCCAAATTTTTAAGATGACATGACATGTAATTAATGCATTCAAATTCAAACCAAAAGGCATTGGTTTCCCAAAGTGCCTCTATATTCCCACTCCTAAATATATTCATAATCATTTATAAGGGATAGTTAATTATAAAGTAACTTTTCAAAGAAGGCTATCATGTTGGAACATCCCAAATTGGAAAGAAAAAACTGACAATGTGGAACGGAGAGAGTAATTATTACTGTGTATGCATGATCCACATTGGCACACATGCTCATTTTTGCATTTATATGTCTGTAGCCAGGAATGGTGTTTATGTGAATGTAGTGGAGAGAGTGAGGGAAGCATTTCAGACCGAAGAAGTTGTACGACTGGACTGCACTCATGTGGGTTTAAGTGACTGCAAGAAGATCGGTGTGAAGTTACGGGTATGAGTTGTACTTAAATCAGATCCCAATTATATTTATACGTATATATTTTCTTGGCTGAAAGTGTAAACTCTTAACCAGGAGGACTGATCATTGTGATTTTTATTTTTATTTTTTATTTTTTTGGGTTGTCTTTTCGTTTTGTTTTAGGATTTGGTACCGTGTGTCCCTATCTTGTTCAAGGATGATCAGATTATCCTTTGGAGGGGCAAGGAAGAGTTGGAACGGGACTCGAGCTCATTGATAGAACCTACCACAGATGCTAGATGAGCGGTTAGTAACTTGTGATACAGTTCTACCTGTAGTTAATTTGCCTCATCCGATGACTCAAGTTGGTTGACATAAGGATGCAAATATCTGTGGCTGATTTCTACCTTCACCAGTAATCGTAGTTTCTGATGCAAACAAAAGTTGCTTAGCCAACCCTCTGAACCGTCGACGGTGATATGACACTCAAATGCAAATAGATTGATGAGGAGATCAGTTTTGCACTTGGTATCACAGCAATTATGCTGCTAAGAAAGAATCAGGATCCCCTCCTTCCATTTCTTCCTTACATTTCCTACTTACAGGCCCATTGGGCCTACTTTTAGGCCCAATTTTGATAATCCGAACCATTCATATTTTAAGATTTGTTCAGTATATCATACCTGTAAAAAATCAAGTTGATCGAATATCATAAAACATGTGTTTGGAAAACTCAAACTAAAAATTATTTTTTTAAAGAATTTAATAAACAGTTTTCCGAATATATGCTTTCTGATATCTGATCAACTTAATTTTTTACAGGTATGATATAATGAACAAATCTTAAAATATGAACGGTTCGGATTGTCAAAATTTGCCCTAAAAGTAGACCCAATTAGCTTGCAAGTAGAAAATACAAGGAAGGGATCCTAAGTTGCTGAGAAAGTGGAACTTCAGAAGGGACGTGTGACCCGTATTTCCTCATTTGGGACCCTGTAACGCTACTCCAAATTTCCTATGTTTGTCTCTTGGTTTGATGAGATGATCCAAAAAATGTAAAAACAATCCCTTAATGGAAGTAAGCCTCCTTTTTCTTTTTCTTTTTCTTTTTCATTTTCTTTTTCATTTTGGGCTGTCCTTCAGCAGATTTTGTCTTTTTTGGTGGCCCTTTTCAAAAGATTTCTTGTTGCATTGTTTCCAGTTAATTATTCATAAACAACTTTCTTGGTAAGGCTTGCATCTGAAACACTTTCTTTTAGGATGAGCCAAGTTTCACTTGCTATCATGGTGTATGATCGCCAATTGTGTGAAAAATCATACAGCATGACGGAAAAATTTTTGTACAAACGTTGTTTTACTGCTTATGTTTTTGTGTTTGCGAAACAAATAAGCTAAACGTTAAAAAAATGACCATCATTCTTGTTCTTGTGTGAAAAATATTTTTAAAAGATCCAAAATTTCTTTTCTTTGTTGTGTTGTATTTAAATAAAATTTCCTAAAATTATTTTCAGATACAATCCACAGACAACTTTCAAGAATTTTCAAAAAACAAAAAAGAACATAACCAATGTTTCTTTCATTTCCCCAAAACTCCGAATTAATTTTTTAAAACATTAATAAATATATATATATATATATATATATTTTAAAAAGTGAATTTCATTTCATGAACAAAGATCCTGCTATTTAATCTAGTTTAACCCTAGCATAAACTTCACTCTACCAAAAAATCATAACCATAGCAGTGTCTATACTCCAGGTGACTCAGCAATTTTCACCCCATTCAAGAGATAAAACTGATGACTAATAATAATAATAAACAGACGATAAAGTAACTGACTGATTGAGCATATTGCAGACAAGCTGCACTTGAAATACAGACCCAACTACAAACGCAGCAAAAACACACCGATTATGGCTGCTCAACATACACAGCATACTCCTGCCTTCATAACAAGCACAAGCACAACGTAGACAGGTGCAGTGGCTATACTATGCGCCAAGTATATGCATCGTTTTACTATATATTTACATAAAAGTCTAGCAAGAAAGCACGTCTGAATTTATAGAAGCATGCACGCACCACTCTTATTATTGGTACTAAGGTGCAAGCAGGATCTTCCTTAGTTCAGGCCTCTTGTCTGCAAGGCAGCCTGAACTGACCAAAGAGGTTATCCAGACCTCATCAGATCTCACTGGTTCATCGTCATCGTTCCTATGCCAGCTCCAGAAAGCATGAGTTGAATTCACTATCTTGAGCTCGCCATGACCAAAGCTTGCTTCACGGAAGACAGACCACTCTGGCTGTGGATTTATATACCTGTCAATTCATTTTTAGGGCCTTGGATTAACTGCTTGCATAACTTGTCATTGAAAAAAGGGCAAAAACTGGAAATGAGGATTCACACAGAATGAATACAAAATGCTAGTCAGATTTGTAAATCTGCTACGATCTCACTAAATAGAGCACTTTCTTATTTGAGTAAAGTTATACAAGCTGACAAATCTTACAAACTTTTCTTATTTACTGATGTGGCACCTATCATATCACTGAAGCGCGATTTGTTTTAGTTTTCCAAAGTTTCATTATTGCAAAGCACATCAGTTCAAGAGAAAAGTTTGTAAGACTTGTTAATTTGTACAACATTTTCCTTCTTATTTTTATTCAACTGTAGCACAACTCGTATGAAAATAATGGAAAGAGTTGGGCTCCCAAATTCACAAAACTAATATGTTTATGAAGGGTAAGGCATTAGCATTAGAAAGCTGAATCTCCTCATAAATTATATATATTAAAAGTTGATATGATGCGATAAGGGCAATCAAATTTTAAAACAAATTATTTCAACCTAAACAATTGCTGGGGTGAAATCCAAATCAAAGAATGGTGCCAAATATTGAACTAGTGCAGGGGGGAAATTCAAACTTTTATTTATCTTTTATTTTTCTTTTATTTTGTTTTTTAATATGACTATTGAAAGGCCTTTAAACAATGAAGACATACTTGCTGGCTAAACCTTCTCTGTTGCCTCCATCACCAACTGTTACGTGGACAGCACCACAAGAATCTGATCTTCCACCATAAACACGTTTCTGTTGAAAAGATGGCCATATAAATAAGTCAAAGTGGTATCAATTAAAAACCCTGAGAAAAATTAAACCAGCATAAACATACCGAGCGTTCATAAGCATGTACGTGGCCAGCAAGAACAATATCTACACCGGCAGCATATAGCAATGGTTCCATGGCTTGCATCATATGGTCCCCTTCACCTCGGTGAGCCTTGTTACTGTTATACCATGGAACATGGAATAAAACAAGTAGCCAAGGTGTCCTCTTTCGGTCCACTTTTAAAAGATCAGCCTACATTTCATGGAATTAAGTCATAGGATTTAGGAATAAAGGACAGAAATATATGTTAAAAATGCATTTTAAAAAAATTGAAAGGAAAATAGATAGTCATATCTTCATTTTTATCTTTTAATTTTTCAAGGGTCACAAATCGATGTGTCTTGTATCATATCCACGGTCTTATTGAGAGAGTATTTATTATTAATAATTTTCAATATTTTGTATTCTTGTTTCATGAGCTAATACATGACTAGAAATAGATATCTTTAGTTGATATGTCAAAAAATTCATATCTTTAGTTTGTTGGGCCCTTTGTGGGTGTGCTATTTTTTGCATTCTTTGCATCGTCGTGATGCTCTTCTAATAAAGTTTGATTATTTATCAACCAAAAAAAAAAGATATGACAAAAAATTCACATTTTTCTTAGAAATGCTACATAATTCAAATTTCTTTTAGTTTAAAATTAATCACGCATGCAGCTCACTTCACTAAGGCGTGTACATTATGCTACACCTTGTGCTTCGGCTTTAGAAGACCTTAGCACCTTTACCGACTATGTCTCTGATATTTGGAAAGGGCCTTTTTCCTTCACATTTTACCAAAACATCTTGGTGTTCACATTGAATCATCATCTGTTCATGTCAAGAGTTTCAAGGGTTGAGGTTACTAGGCTTAAAGGTCACTGCACTAGTCCGTACACTCAGAATATCAACTACAGAGTTTTTCATCCCTTTCTGCACATTCACTTAAAAAGCATTGCCAATTTTAATCTTTCAACGTATGTACTAATCATTACAAAATTTGAATAATGAAGCTTTCTATATGAATAAATAACTTCATTATCAACACAAATAACTTATAATGAGTAAACATGACCTGGATCTCTACCAGCAATTAAGTAATTTTCCTTTTAACCAGAAGTGTCCATTTGACAAGCATCATCTCCAACTGGTTGGTATATCAGGACACCCATGTCTCTAGAAGTGGTAGAGAAGAGAACACAAATTTCCTGTTCAATTTTCTCCACACAAATTCCAAAAATTGACAAAAATGCTCTTTTAGTAAATTAAAAAAAACCTATTTTAGCAGGCCCTAGGAAACAGTAAAACTGAAAAAGATCAAGCGTTACGTATATCTTCCTTTGGTTAATTAGTAAATTCTAAGACGATCAATTCTTGAAAAATAAGGGAGTAGGAAAGAGACAGTACTACTTGAAGATAGATTTAAAAATTTCAACCAACCTTCAGCCAGCTATACTGTTCAGAGTACTCATCATAATCTGTATATGAACCGAGCATGATAAGATGAGCTCCAGCAACATCAAAAGAATAATAGAGATTTGAACTTGATCCACTCTCCTCATATGGCATCTTCCATCTAGCATTGTAGGATTGAAATCCATCCTCAAGTATCAGTATGTTCTCCTTTTCATGGTTCCCTTCTGTTACCATCCACGGCCTTGCACTTGCAAATGGCTGCACTAGCTCACCAAACGTGTCCCACCGAGACTGAATATAATCAGCATAGGAAAGGTCTCCGGGAAGCAAATGCACATCATAGTTGCATAAGTCTATGTGATCCAACGTCGATTTAGTCCAGCCAGTTTGACCTAAATCACCAGCCACGGTAAAAGTAACTGGAAATTCAGATGGAGGAGTCTTGAGCTGGAATTCAGGACCTTGTTTTCCGCATCGGTAGAAGTAAACAGTGTCGTGTTCCAGCGGCCCAATGACAGTGTGGTGTATCTTTCCCGAGCTATATAATAAATAATCATAAGAAGTGCTCTCTCCCTGAGCAATATGGTTGTATTTCCCTGGTGATGTTCCATATTCAACGACAGATGGAGAAGATTTACCATCAGCGATCCATGTCACTCGCATGTGCTGGTCTCCCGCCAACGAGATGTGCACCTGCAATGGCCATTTTTTTCCAAAAAGTTTCTAAAGATACTCTTGAAACGAAAGTCAATAACAGAATTGGTCTTTATCTATACTATTGATACTATTATATAAAGTGTACAGATCACTTGCTATGAACACTTTTTGTCACAACTTTTTTCATTCCTTTTTTTCCCTCGTGTAACTGTCCCAGTTTTGAATTTTACTTTTCAACTTTTGATAACTTCTTCATTTTTTTTTCTCCATCTTCATTTTTTTTTTTTTTTGTGTGGGTCAATCAATAAAAATCCTCCAATGATTTTCATAGCACACCCATCGGGTGTGCATACCTAAACCTTCTAGTAGAAGACAACCAAATAAACTCCATTTGACACAAGTTTCATAACAATTAAGCTGATAACAATAGTATTGCTAAGGCACTCACTCAGGTTTTCAATCCAAATTAGGTGATAAATATACTACTTAATCCAACAAATAAATGGGTTATAAAAATTAAGCAACCACACAATGATCTCTATCACCATACAGCTCCAACCACAAGAATTTGTACTTTCTTTTTTTTTTTTTTTTTTTTTATCGGCATTAACAATGTTAAACAAGAATTTGTACTTTTAAAAAATCGAATTCACTTTTGAAAGAAATGAATCACATTCCCTTCAACTTCTGAGTATTCTCCTCAGAGTTTTTTTCACACAATACCTATTGTTCATGGATAATTAATGCCCGTATATTTTTACTCCTCATACAAATGATTGAAAACAAAAGGACTGAGAAAAGAGGATATGGGGAACCCTCAACATCAAGCTATAACACCGTCAACCATGTCGGTATCCGATAAATGATCACAAGTTTTAAATGAAGGGGTAGAATTATAATTACAATTTTCATAGTCATAGGACCTCCTACAATGTTTCACACAACTCAACCTCCCTTGGTAACCCTAATCTCCCCCCAAAAGGAAAGTAAAAAACGCCAAATAATTCAGACCTCTGCAATTAATGCCCAAGTCAACAGATCCACAAAAATAATAATATAAAAATCCTACTTCACATTGATAAATAAATGGGATGCACTTAAACAAACAAAAAAGTCAGAAATCCAAATATACAACTAAACATAGACAAACACGATCCGAAACAAAGAGCATACAAATAATTAGGGCAAATATTCTAATCTCAACTTGATATGATTTCCAAGGCGGCCAATTTTTTCATTTTTCACAATTTTCTAGGCAACCAAACAGAGGATATAAGTACGATACTGAGAAATATTGACCTGAGAGATAGATACAGAGAGGGGGTCAGGGTTTACCTGTTGGGGCTGAGAGGAGGGCTTTGATTCCCATGGAAAATCCAAGATTTTACGAGGCTTAGGGCGAACATAATCGGCAGAGGCAGTTGCAATGGTCATCAGAGCGACCATTAACAACACCAATTTGGGTTCCATAGTTCTTAGTACCTTGAAAATCTCTGGAACGAGATCTAGCGTTGAACTATATATGATGATTCTACACTTCTACTGTGCGTTTGGCACGTAGGAAAATGAGAGGATCAGTGATGGAAAATGTTTTTTTTTTTTTTTTTGGTTACATCGGAAGGAAAACTACAAACAAAGGGCCAAGGCTATTCACTAGATAATCCAATCATGTCGCTCAAAGTCTTTAATTTCAGCCGCCAATTCATTTACCAAATTACCACCAAAATATCTTCAGTGCTGCTCCAAGTTTGGGTCCGATTGAAAATGTTTTAAGCCTTTGTTTGGAAAGTGGGTTGATTTTTTAGTTTTTTAATTTTTTGATTATTTTAATTTAGGATTAAAAAGTTTAATTTGAAAAGAAATTTTTAGTTTTTTTATTTTTTTAATTTTTTTTGTGAAAGATGAATGTAATGATTATGGGTTAGATTTGATATTTTATTTTTTGTGATTAAAATAGTTTATTTTATTTTTTGTGACTATTTTAGTCCCTAACCTACCGAAACCAACTTCCCAAACTATGCCTAAGTAGCGTTTGGTTTGCTTTGGAATTTGAATAAAAAAAAATTTAATAATTTTGTTAAATTTTAGAACTATGATTTAAACGTGCAGTTGTGATTTAATTAAGTATTGAAAAAAAAATTATTTGATTATAAGTTTTGAAAGAAAATTTGTGAAAAATTTTGAAAAAGGTTTTTGAATTTTGAGATTTAAAATGAATTTTGAATTGTGTTTTAAAATTTTGTGAATTTATTTCTTTAAAATATTTTAAAATGTTTAAGAAAAATTTATTTTTTTATTTTAAATATATAATTTTTATTTAAACATTTTAAATTTTTTATTTTAAATATGTTATTTTATTTTGTAAATATTTTAATTTTTTTTAATATTTTAAACTCAAAACACAACTCCACACTCATTGAGAACCATTAATGGGAAATTGAAATTCTAAAATACCATCTTAGTGTATTTGCTAATAATTTTGAGCATTGATGCATGTAACTAGTTTGAGTGATTTTTGTGGATGCAATTTGTTAGCAAGTGGAAAGTTCAAGATGGATAAACAATGGGTACATTTTCCAAGATTTATTTCCAAACACAACCATAAATATGCTTTCAAATGCTAAGCTACTCAATTTTTATTTATTTTTGGATGGAATTAATAATAATTTAAAATTTTCAGAGTATCGGATAAGTATTTGGATGGAGCGAAATTTTTTTTCAATATGGCTAAGGAGAATGCAGAGAATCCCGATATGATCATATGTCCTTGTGGAAGTTGTCAAAACCTATCACAGCAACATTGTGATACTGTGTTCGAGCACTTAGTCATGAAAGGAATGCATCCTAGATACACATCATGGGTTCTCCATGGGGAACGACTAAGTGAATCTATAGAAGTTCAAGAGAATGTTGCAATTCCAGAGACTTATAGGATGTTTAGAGATGTTTATGTACAAGATGATTTTTGGCAACCTACAAATGAAAGTAGAGAGAGGGAGTTCACACAAGCATTAGAAGATGCTGGAACTCTTTTATATCCAGGTTGTACAAAGTACACTAAGTTTTCAGCAATTGTCGCTTTATACAAGCATAAAGTTGTGCATGGGGCATCTGATAAGAGTTGATGAACTCTTGAGAATAGTGTCTGACATGCTACCAGAAGGCAACACACTTGTGCAATCTATATATTCAACAAAGAAGTTGCTTAAAGCATTTGATCTTGGGTATGACGAAATACATGCTTATGTCAATGATTGTTGTTGCCTATGGGCGGCCCGGGGCGGGCCCGGTTCGGCCCGTTGACAATGTGAATATTCACATTGACATGTTAAAATTCACATTAATAGGAGTGTAAAATTGGCCCCCGTCCCGTGGCGGAGTGAAACCCGCCTGCAGCCTATGGGCGGCCCGGGGCGGGCCCGGTTCGGCCCGTTGACAATGTGAATATTCACATTGACATGTTAACATTCACATTGATAGGAGTGTAAAATTAGCCCGCGCCCTGTGGTTGCCCGAAACCCGCCCACGGCCCGTGGGCGGGCCCAGCCTGGCCTGTTGATAATGTGAATATTCACATTGACATGTTAACATTCACATTGATAAGAGTATAAAATTGGCCAGCGGCCTAGGGCGGGTCCGACCCGGCCCGTTGACAATGTGAATATTTACATTAACATGTTAACATTCACATTGATAAGAGCATAAAACTGGCCCGCAGCCCGTGGGTGGCCCGAAGCCTGAGGCAGACTTGGCCCGACCCGTGACATTGTGAATATTCACATTGACATGTTAACATTAACATTGATAGGAGTGTTAAATTTGCCCGCTGCCCGAAAGTTGCCCGCCGCTCAGGGTAAGCCCGGCCCGGCCCGTTGACAATGTGAATATTCACATTGACGTATTAACATGCACATTGATAGGAATGTAGAATTGGCCCGCGGCCCGTGGGCTGCCCGAAGCCCATCCACGGCCCGGGGCAGGCTCGTTTGAGTCCGGGCCCGAGCCGGTGGGTCGAGCCTCGGGTCGAGCCGATGGGCCTGGGCCTAGCCTCAGGCTTGGGTCGGGCTTGGGCAAGCCTGGCCATTTTTTTTAATTCTTTTTAATTTTTTCTATCAAAATTTTATTATTTTCCACAAAAAAAGACATTAGGCCTCGGCGCGGCCCGAGTCTCGGACCGAGCCTTGAATGGGCCTTAATTGGTCCGATGGGCCGGGCTGGGCTTCAAAGTGATAGCCCAGGCCCTAGCCTAGGGTCTTGGACTAGGCTCGAGCCCGGGTCCAAACAAGCCTTTCCCGGGCCGCGGGCGGGCTTCGGGCAACCTACGTTCTTTTTGACTATTCCATTAAGTCCTACTTGAGATAAGAAGACCAAAATACAATTTTCATCTATTTATATTCTATTTAGTCCACATTATTTTCTTATGTTTCAATAAGTCCTATGAGAGACATAATTACCAAAATACCTATAATGTGAACGTTCACATCGTCAATGTGAATGTTCATATCATCAATGCGTAGAGGCTCGGGCCGGCCCATATCGAGCCTCGTAGGTGTCTGAAAAAATCTGGACCGGCCCACGGGCCAAAAAATTAGGCCCTAGCCCTGGCACAAGGGTATTCAGGCTTTGGACAGGCCGATGGATCGAGCCTCGGGTCGGACCGGTGGGCCTGGGCCTAGCCTCGAGCTTAGGTCGAGCTTGGGCGAGCCTAGGTCATTTTTTTAAAATTCTTTTTAATTTTTTCTACCAAAATTTTATTATTTTTCACAAAAAAAGACATTGCGCCTCGAGCAGGTTGGGCCTCGGACTGAGCCTTGAATGGGCCTTAAACGAGCCGATGGACCGGGTTGGGCTTCAAAGTGATGGCCTAGGCCCTAGCCTAGGGTCTCGAACATGCTCAGACTCGGACCCAAACGAGCCTGCCCCGGGTCGTGGACGGGATTCGGGCAGCCCACGGGCCGTAGGCCAATTCTACATTCCTATCAATGTGCATGTTAACATGTCAATGTGAATATTCACATTGTCAACGGGCCCGACCGGGCCTACCTTGGGCCACGGGCAAGTTTCGGGCAGCAGGCAAATTTTACATTCCTATCAATGTTAATGTTAACATGTCAATGTGAATATTCACATTATCACGGGTCGGGCCAAGCCCGCCTCGGGCTTCGGGCCGTCCACGGGCTGCGGGTCAATTTTACACTCTTATCAATGTGAATGTTAACATGTCAATGTAAATATTCATATTGTCAACGGGCCAGGTCAGGCCCGCCCTGGGCCGCTGGCCAATTTTATACTCTTATCAATGTGAATGTTAACATGTCAATGTGAATATTCACATTGTCAACAGGTCGGGCCGGGCCAGCCCCGGGCCGCCCACTGGCCGTGGGCGGGTTTCAGGCAACCACAGGGCGCGGGCTAATTTTACACTCCTATCAATGTGAATGTTAATATGTCAATGTGAGTATTCACATTATCAACAGGCCGAGCCGGGCCGCGGGCGGGCTTTTGGCCGCCCATAGGCCGTTGGCCAATTTTATACTCTTAACAATGTGAATGTTAACATGTTAATGTGAATATTCACATTGTCAACGGGCCGGACCGGGCCCGCCCCGGGCCGCCCATAGGCCGCGGGCGAGTTTCGCACCGCCACGGGACGCGAGTCAATTTTACACTCCTATTAATGTGAATGTCAACCTGTCAATGTGAATATTCACATTGTCAACAGGCCGGGCCCGTCTCGACTCGCGGGCGAGTTTCAAGCCGTCCACGGGCCAATTTTACATTTCTACCAATGTGAATTTTAAAATATGAATGTTCACATCATAAAATTGCTAACCGTTCAAAAAATATTTATAAGAATATCAAAATTAAATATAAGGGTATAAGTGTCCAAGAAAAAGGACTTCATGGAATAAAACTATACATACATGGGACTAAATGGGTTAAAAAATTTCTTCATGGACTTCTTGGGTTAAAACACTTCTAAATGGGATTTATCAGTAAAAATCCCTTTAAAATATAACTCAAAACTCAAAATATAACTCAAAACTCTTTTCAAAACTTATAATCAAGCAAATTTTCTCTTTCAAAACTCATAACTCAAAACACGATTCCGCACTCAAAACACGATTCTAAAAATAATTTTCAAAAACAAAATAAAAAGTACATTTTTTTAATTTTTTCTTTTAAAATAGTGTTTTGAAAAAAGTTTGGTTTTGAATTTTGAAAAAAGTTTTGAATTGTGTGTTTAATTATGAGTTTTGAAAATAATTTTTGAATTTAGTTTTAAGTAGTTTTGAATTGTGTGTTTGGTTATAAGTTTTGAAAATATTTTATTAAAATTTTGATTCCAAAAGAGAACCAAACATAGCCTAAAATTTTTTCAAAACTTTTTTTAAAAAAATCATAACCAAATAAATTTTCACAATTCTTTTTAAAATTTTATTTTTTTAAAAAAAAATTTATTTCAATCATTTTTTTAATTTTTTTTTTTCAAAAAATATATTTTTTTTATGAAGAAAAGTATTTTTATTTTTTTATTTTAAAAAAAAGATTTTTAAAAAAATTATTTTATTTTTATCTTTTGTTTTTTAAAAAAATATTTTTTATTTTCTTAAAATATTTGAAGA